TGCAGCGTGAAATGGTGCTGGGGGGGACCCTGTGCACCAGGGCCTGGGGTGCTGCTGGTGGTGGTGTGCACCGGGGCCGGGGGGACCCTGTGCACCGTGAAATGGTGCTGGGGGGGACCCTGTGCACCAGGGCCTGGGGTGCTGCTGGTGGTGGTGTGCACCGGGGCCGGGGGGACCCTGTGCACCGGGGCCGCGGTGCTGCTGGTGGTGTGCACTGGGGCCAGGGGGACGCTGTGCACCGAGAAACGGGCCTGGGGTGCTGCTGGTCGTGGTGTGCACCGTGCGACAGGGCACAAGGGACAGTGACATGGGGCTGGGGTGCTGCTGCCGGCGTGTGTTGCGCAATGTGGCCGGGGGGACCCCGTGCACCGTGAAATGGGGCCGGCGTCCTGCTGCCTGGCCTGCACCGTGTAGTGGGACCAAAGGGACCCCATGCACCACGAAATGGGCCTGGGAATCATGCGCTGTGTGGCGGGTCTACAGGGACCCCATGCACCGTGAAACGGGGCTGGGGTAGTGCCACCAGCGTGCACTGCACTAGAGCCAGGCTTTCAGGTGTGTAAAACCTGGCGTGAGCGGGATGGGAGTGAGGGTCTTTCTCCGAGGGCCTGTTCTGCTCTGGACTCCGCTGTCTCTGAAGCCAGCGGAGGGATGGACAGAAGGATACAGGGTGCAGCTGGAGCCCTGTGAAGAGCCCAGAACAGCTCCACAAAGTGCAGCTAACCTGAGAGCCACAGGACACTGGCTGGGAACACCGCCATGACCAGGTGGCCAAGAAGCAGAGCATGCAGAGGGATCTGGGCAAGGCCTTGCTGCTCTCCAGAGCCCTTTGACTCCTGGCCCATGCTGGCTCAGGAAGCTTTAAGGAACAGCTCCCAGCCCTTATCAGTGCAGGCAGGCAGTGGGGTTTTTTTATGTCCCCATTCCAGCAGATAAAGAAGGCTATTAGATATTGATTAACCCTGAAATGTCCAGCATGGCCCCTCGCTGCCTTGTGAGATGAATGCTCCCAGCCCCTGCTTCTTCTGAGGCAGCCTTCTTCTGGCTCTTCCCAGCAGGCATGGAGGAGCAGGCATCTAGAACTTGTGTTTTCTGCCCTGGGACTGTAGCGGGCCTGTGAAAGGTGTGCAAGCCCACTGGCAGCAGCTTTGCTTTTCTCAAGCTTGTTATACAGCAAAGTGTAAATTACCAAATTGAATCTAGGTCACCTAAAAGGGAGGCAGAGCATCTCTCTTGTAAGGAGAGAGCCATCGTGCCAGTCCCCAGTCGTTGCCGTGCAGCATGCCCGAAGAGTGGCTTGTTATCCTGCCGTAGGCGTTGCCACGCAGTGATTAGCAGTTTTCGGTTTCCTTATCTTGGGCAACTTCACGTGGTGCTCGGAGCTGTTACAGTTGCTCTGTGCTGGGAATGGTCTTTCTGAAATCAGGACAGAGGTGAAGAGATACAAAATGGTTAAAATGGCTCCCTTGACACACAAATGCTAATTAAGGTGATAACTCAGTCTGCTGCTCTGATGTATCACCAGACAGCTATTTTAAATGCTTTTCTTGGTGGCAAGCTTACTGCAGCTGACTGGGGCAATGAATTTTTAGGCTTGAAAAGACCGTAGTAGCCGGAGCAGCCTGTTGCATTGTTCTTGTGTAAATATTTGCTTTAGCTGTGGTATCCGGACAGCATCGCCTTTGGCCCCTCCGCTCTGCTCCGGCTTGCAGAACTGCTGTAGGGGCTTTGGCAGAGGTTTTGAAATCCAGTATCTTAAGTGGCTGTACCTCAGGGAACAGAGGATTGGCCTCTTCACGATGGAAGCCTTCACTGGACTTGTGAACGCTTGCTTACCTACAGGAAAACTTGCTTTCTGGGCTTGGCTTGAGTCCGTAAGCACGCTCTTGGGTCTCTGCAGCTCGGGCCACAAGTTCCACATACGTTTTTGAAGGGTGTTGCTGATTTATGCAGTTCCTGGTGCGTTTTCCTACCTTCTCTCTGTCCCATCTGTCACACTGTGCTTTCAGCTGTGCATTATACCGGCTCGGAAGACCAGCCTGGCTGAAGAATACGGAGACTACTTGAATACCGGGCCTGCTCAGCATCTAAACTCTGACTCGGCCACCTGTGTTCAAGTCCTGTAGCTGGAAAACGTGCTTTCTTTGGCTTACATCGGGTGTCCCTCAGGTAGTTCAACCTCAGCTTAAACTTGCCTTCATTTAGTTTTCCGCACTGGAATACCTCCAGCCTGGCAGAGAGGATGTGCAGTTTATAACTTTGACCTTTATTCGAGACCAATGCTCTTTTAATTGCTCAAAATAAAATATAATGCAGTGCAGAGACAACAACGTTACGGTAACATAGAGGTAGTGGTGCGTTAGGACTTGTGGCCTCGGATCCCTAGTAGATCTCTTTTCCCAAACCCCTGTCTAGAAAGCTTTGCCCCTGTGATCTCTTGGGTATCCTGATGTGTTTGGACAACTCGGCCTGGACTTTTTTTCTCCTGCCTTCCTGCAAGCTCTCCTCCCTGGAAACAGCAGAGGAATCTTTCTTTGGCCTTCACCCCAAAACCTTCAGGCTGAGAACGGGAAAATCAGTCCTAAATCTACCCTTCGCTGCCTTAAGCCGATAGAAAGACCGGCTCAGAACGAAAGTACTTAACTCTCTGGAGTGCTGCAGCTTAGGTAAATGCCCGCAGGATCAGCATTAATTGCAGCAGTAGTATATTAGAGCCCAGTGACCTGCTTAAGTCCTTGCAGGATCGGGACCTAAGTACCCCAAACACTGTAAGCCGCTTGGTGAAAGAAGGTGCCGTCACCATCTCGGAAGCAGCAGCTCTTTAAAATAGATACCCCAAACACTGTAAGCCGCTTGGTGAAAAGCCCAGCAGAAAGAAGGTGCCGTCACCGTCTCGGAAGCAGCAGCTCTTTAAAATAGACGGCCGGGCTCCTGCAGCCCTCGATACCAAAATAATCTTAGACCAGGTAAACTGCAGAGGGACACGCTCTTGTGTTTCTCTCTTCCCCGCCCCTCCATTGCCAGGAAGGCGTCGGGAGAGGTTTTCCAAAGCAGTGTTGCATGCTGCCTGAACCTGCAGTAGGTTTTTGCCCCGACATCCCTCTCGGCGTGTCCTGCTCAGGTTGGCTCCCCAGGCTGCTCCCTCCCTGCTGGCTGCAGCCCGAGTCCCTCTCTGGAGGGTGTGTGTTGCTGGCATGACTGACTCATCCTCCTTTCTAAGTTGATCCTGTACTTAGCCGGAGAGGTAATTAACACTTGTTAGTGGTCTAGAAAATGCTAAGTACATCTTCCATTTTTAAACTACCTGACGTGACTCTGCCTCGTACGTGCTTGCTGCCCTTTTTTCCACAGAGCCTGTCAAGAGGAGAAACGGGGGCTTTTTATTCGGCAGTACTGTACTGATGGGAAGAGCAGTTAAGTCTGAAGAGGGCAAATGATGTTTGGGGCTCCGTGAGGTGCAATCTACATACACATGTTAGTGCAAAGTATGTTTATGTAGTGGGTAAACTGGGTCTAAATGGACCCAAAACAGGGACAGAGTGGAGGGGGAAGATGATTTTGTGAGTTCTGCTGATCACTAGTGTTAGAGCTTCCTTAACCCGCCTGGCCCTGCTGCCTTCGGATGTGCTGTATCTGTCACCACACTGAGCACTCGGCAGGAGGTCTGGCTGGCCCGGGGCTGGCTCCAGGCTGCCTGCATTGCCTGGGGCAAAACCCAGCCCCGGGACAGCATTCCTGTGTTGGGAAAGCTTGTCATCTTCACGTGAGGCAGCCTTCTCCGGGCTGCAAAGCTTTGTAAAGCTGATACGTGGCAGCATTAGCGGTGGGAGCTGCCTCGCTGTGTCTTTCGCCTTTAGCAATCAAGACTGAATCCTGCCCCAGAGGAGATAAACCTGATCTACCTTGTGCTGCATGCTTTGTCCGCCACCGAGCTCTGGGGTCTGGGCAGGCGCCTGCATGATGCTGTGAGTCAGGGTGCTCAGAGCTGTGTGGAGTCATCGTCTTTAGTACTCCTGTCTTCAGGAGGGGGCTGTCACAGCCGCAGCCCTCTGTCAGGCAGGTTAAAAACCACCCCGCCTCTTCTCTTGCACTATCTACAAGCCTGCAAAGCCTGGACGTGGGGCTGGGCGGAGGCTGTGGCCAAAGGGAGAAAAACGGGCTTCTTTTTATAGCATGGTCTGGTCTGCCCTTGACATTAAGAGAGCCACTCCGTCTTCAGGGTGTTCTGCCAACAGGGCAGAGGCAGGTGGTTTGTGGGGTGGCTGCTGAGGAGTTGGGGGCAAAGCTCCTCCTGACGCAGGGAGGTTTCGTGCTTGACAGCAAGGGAAGGGGCCTTCACATCGGAGCTTGTCACTTGTCACACTGGGAAGAAAGTGTCCTCTGCGATTTCCAGGAAGACAGCATTTAGCTACAACATCCCTCTTCAAATGAGGCAGAGTTTGTAGGGCAGGGAAGGGAAATATCTTCGTTAGGTCAGCCAGCGTTGCGGGAAAAGCAGATTAATTTTCCTGCACAAGAGCCCTTCCAGGAGTTTGGAAGAGGCTCTGTATTCGTGCTTCGTGCACTTGCCTGGGTCTGGCCGAGGTTCCCTGGAGGGGACTAACCTACGCGATCCTGCCTGTAGCTGTGAAGAGACGGCACTTGGACAGGGCGTAAGAGTTTAAGGCTTGTTTCCTGGGGCCTTTCTGGCGTCAGCACATAAGGCAAGCAGGGCCATTTCTACACATTAATGACTTGGAGGGGGTCAGTTATCTTCAGCCACAGTGAACTGAGGATCTTTGCCCATTCTGTCATGTAAAATGCAGTGCCAGATCATGGAGCATAAATGAGTTGTTTGGTTTTTTTTTCCCCCCCCTGGATAATTCTCTTAGCACTGCTTGTACCTTTTCCAGTGGTTTAAAGACAAGATTTCCCTTGAGGTTTTCTCCGTAGCCCTGTTGGTGCACGTCCCTGCCCCGTTCTCAAGCCTAATTCTTAGCTTCTTTTTTTTTTCCTTCAGCTCATGGTGGTCCCATGTGGAGATGGGTCCCCCTGACCCCATCCTGGGGGTGACAGAAGCTTTCAAGCGTGACACCAACTCCAAGAAGATGAACCTGGGTGTGGGGGCGTACCGGGATGACAACGGGAAGCCGTACGTCCTGAACTGTGTTCGCAAGGTGAGCCTGGTGCTGGCTGCTGGGCAGGGCCAGATCCAGGTGTCGGGCGCCCTGGGGGGTCAGGGAGGGGGAAGGCCTCTAGGCAAGGTTTGCCTGTTGGTCCTTAGAATAAGCTTTGTCTCTAACAGGGTGGGACAGTGTTCCTGGATGTCTTCCTCAGCAGTCCTAATGCTTTTGAGACACGACAGAGGCAGTTGTTAAGTAGATAAAACAGGGAATACGTGTCCTGTTCCCATTCGGGTAAATCTAACTCGTTGCTGACTTCCACGAGCCCTCCAACCCAGCTGTCCTCTGAACTTCCCTCTGTCCTCTGAAGGTGTTTCTTGAATAGGCTGATGTTCCCTGGGCCAGCCCACATGGGAGGGAAGAGCTGACATTGTCCCCTTGATGGATTAGTCTTAGAAATTCTGCTGAGCCGTTGTTACCGGTTTCTCCTTAAGTCAGTCTAAAACTCCAGCCCAGGGAGCTGGATGTGGGCACTGCCCTTGAGGGGATTACGGAGCCTTTCAGGGCTGTAAGCTTAGAAATAGGCCGTTAAATAGCTGGCACCTGACACACATGTTGACTGGCTGGTCTCCTTGGCGTAGGGAGGATGCGTTGTCCATGTTTCTCATCAGTGTGGGGTTTAAAGCCATCCCTTGCCCTTGCTCTCCCTGCGTCAGCACGTATTGCAGCTGGGTCACAACCGGGGAGCCTGTGTGGTGTCGCAGGAACGGTTTCCTGGTGGTATGTGAATGCTGCCAGGGTCTGTCCCGCCGCTCTGGGAGCATGGATAGGGTTCCCAGAGCGCTCCAGATGTCTCCGTCACTGCATTTTTTCCTGAGCATGGCTCCTTGTCTGCTGTTCTTGCTGCCACTCTCTGATCCTGTGTTAGGTAAGGACTTGGACTGGTTTCTGATGCAGGATCTGCTTGAAAGAAGTAGAGATTAGCAAAGCGGGGGGAGCCATGTTTAAGGGCTGGGTGAGCTAGCTTTCAGACAGGCTGCTTTCAAAATTGGCTGGGGTTTCAGGATTTATTTTTTTTTTAACCTGCTCCATCTAGTTCAATAACACTCCCAGCACGACGAGGCCCTACAAAGGGCTTGCTACCCTACCTGGTTTTGGGATGTCTCCCTGTGTAGAGACAATCTCTGCCTTTCGGTAACAGTCAAGTCTTGCCTTCCTGCAGGACAATTCCTGCTTGGGCAAAGAAACGTGTGTCCTTGTGCAGCAGCGCTGACTTGTAACGGGCTGGAAGCGGTGCTCTCCTCCGGCGCCGGGTTTCCTGGCTCTGCTGTACCGACGCTGGCACCCACTGAAGGCTCTGGTGGCCGCTGGGCACCTCGCCCCGTGGTAAAAGCAGAGTGTCACCTGAACTGGTTACTGCTGCCCTGGCTTTGAATGAGCCCTGATCTCTGAAGGGAAACTCCTGTAAACCAACCTTTGCCCCTCTTGAGCAAGCGAATGTGAAGAGAAGTGACCTTGAGCTGTCCACCATCCTCTCCACGGTGATGCTTTCCTTGCTGAATGTGTGTCTTCCTTCCCAGGCGGAGGCCATGATAGCATCCAAGAAGATGGACAAGGAGTACTTGCCCATCGGGGGGCTAGCGGATTTCACCCAGGCATCTGCAGAACTGGCTCTGGGTGAAAACAGTGAGGCTTTCAAGAGCGGCCGGGTAAGGAGCGAGCTGGGAAGCAGGGGGTGGGCAGCGCTGTCTGACACACGGTTGGTGCGTGGGTGCCCAGCAAAAGTGGAAGGACTGGCAGGTACTCAGGCCTCTGAGTTGCAAACTGGCCAGACCCAAGGATAACCGCTTCCTCTGAAGGCTGGGGTGAAATAGCCCTTCCCGAGGAGGGGATTTGACCTTGCCAGGGGTCCCAACTCCCTGCCCTGCACCTGGAGTTGCTGACCCATGCGGTTCCCTCCAGCCCCATGTCCCTGTTTGAGCCAGCTGTCGCAGAGGTGTGCTTCTGCCAGTGCTGACATAGTGACTGGGCTTTCCCTGTATCACACCGTGGCTGCTCGGACTCATGTATTTGTTTCTTCCCTTGCAGTATGTCACTGTGCAGGGTATTTCTGGGACTGGATCTCTGCGAATCGGAGCCAATTTTTTGGTGAGTCCCTGGCTGGTGGGGGAAGGAAAGGACATCTTTTGACCGGAGCTGAATCTTTGGGGTTTTCTAACTGCTTGAATCTGTTCAACCTGTTTGAACACTCTGTCTTTCTCTTGATCAGCAACGGTTCTTCAAGTCTAGCCATGATGTGTATCTACCCAAACCATCCTGGGGCAATCACACACCCATTTTCCGTGATGCTGGCCTGCAACTTCAGGCTTACCGCTACTACGACCCCAAGACGTGCAGCCTTGACTTCTCTGGAGCCATGGATGACATTTCCGTGAGTTGCCTTTCATGCCTGGAAGCAGGGAGGTGATGTGGGGAGATGGGTGACCATCTTGCTTTAGCCTAAATATCATAGAATCATGGAATAGTTTGGGTTGGCAGGGACCTCTAAAGGCCATCTAGTCCAGCCCCCCTGCCGCAGGCAGGGACATCTTCAACTAGATCAGGTTGCTCAGAGCCCCGTCCAACCTGACCTGGAATGTTTCCAGGGATGGGGCATCCACCACCTCTCTGGGCAACCTGGGCCAGTGCTTCACCACCCTCAGCATAAAACATTTCTTCCTTATATCTAGTCTAAATCTACCCTCTCTTAGTTTAAAACCATTCCCCCTTGCCCTATCGCTGCAGGCCCTGCTAAAACGTCTGTCCCCATCTTTCTTATAGGCCCCCTTCAAGTACTGACAGGCTGCAATAAGGTCTCCCCGGAGCCTTCTCTTCTCCAGGCTGACCAACCCCAACTCTCTCAGCCTTTCCTCATAGCAGAGGTGTTCCATCCCCCTGATCATTTTTGAATATGATGCCTGAAGGCACCAAATGAAAGCTAGAAACCTTACAGAGCTTGTCTAAGCTGTCTAGGGCAAGAGTCCCATCTCGGCTGCTGAGGAGAGTGCTCAGATGTCATTAATAATTCATGCTCTGTAACATCTTCCTTAGAAAATTCCAGAGAAGAGCATCATCGTCCTGCACGCTTGTGCTCACAACCCCACCGGGGTGGATCCCCGGCAGGAGCAATGGAAGGATTTGGCAGCTATGGTGAAGGTGAGCAGTAGAGTGTCCCAGGGGTACTGTGCTGTTCCTGGGAAAACCACATCTCTGGGCTTTCATGGGTGGTATCTGGTCTTCACCACGCTAAAGGTTACTCCCTTCCCCGAAGCCAGGATGGGTGTCATGTTCCTGTACTGAAGACAGGAGCCAGAGAAGCGCACCCATAAAGCTTCTAGCTGACCGTCAGACTTTCTGCTGGCACCTTCCCAGGGGTAGGAGACCTGAAAGGGTTGAAAGAGTGAGCTGTGATAGCTGGAGAGGGTCTCCCAGTGCTGGTGTATTAAAAATGCTGGAAGATGTTTCACGTGCCTGGTGTCTCCTCGCAAGTTTCAGCTGGAAAGAGATAGGGGCAGGTTCTTCCTTCATCCTTCTCCTCTTCCTCCCTGCCGCTCCCCCAAGCTGTAGCCAGTGAAATTTGGCTTGGGGATGCCTGGCCTTAGTAGTGTTCTGAGAATTGGTAGGTATCAAAGAGGCCTCTGGGGCCTACAGATGGCGGCGGGTCTCCTGACCCGGGGCGGTGCGACTGGGTTATCTGCCTAGAGGCATTGGAAGGGCTGGCACCTGCCCAGAGGGTTCCCAGGTGGTTTTCCTGGAAACTGATAATACAGGAGGCACGGAAATGGAATAATTTGTTACCGCTGAATCCACTTCTGCTTTCTGGGCCAGACTGCACATCCCAAAATGTGCTGGGAGGGTCTTGACCTGCTGTTTCGATGCGTGGTGGGTAGCTGTGGTTTTGGGGCCGCCTTCCCTGTTGCAAACGAAGGGGAATGGCTCTACTTCTGGAGGAGCAGAGTTGCAGCTGAGCAGCCCGCTGCCTGCATGGCTCTTTTCAGCCTGCTGCCCTGCTCCCTGCAGGGGTGCATGGCTCTTCTCAGCCTGCTGCCCTGCTCCCTGCAGGGGTGCTCAGCTCCTGTGACACTCTCTCCCCTCTTTGCTGGCAGAAACGGAACCTCCTCGTGTACTTTGACATGGCCTACCAAGGCTTTGCCAGCGGAGACATCAACCGGGATGCCTGGGCTGTGCGGTATTTCATCGAGCAGGGCATCAACGTCATCTTGTCACAGTCCTACGCCAAGAACATGGGGCTGTACGGTGAGTAGGGCAGGTGGTGTGGAGACGGTTTCATCCAGGCTGCTGGGGGGACACCGCTGCCTCCGGGGTTTAGCGCCCAGTGTCTTTCTGCTGCCTGCGTTCATCCTGCAGTACTGATCGGGGTGCGGGAGATAACCTGCTGGGAGCTGGTGGCGACCTTTCTAGAGAGCAGGGCTCTGCTAAAGCTGTGTGCATTTGGATGAGTCCTGCCCCAGCCCTGGGTATCCAAGGGCAGAGGCTGGGACCTGATCGCTCCTCTTTCAGGAGAGCGTGCGGGTGCCTTCACGGTGGTCTGCACCGATGCAGAGGAAGCCAAGAGGGTCGAATCACAGCTGAAGATCCTCATCCGCCCCATGTACTCCAACCCACCCCTGAACGGAGCCCGCATCGCCTCTATCATCCTGAACACCCCTGACCTTCGGAAGGAGTGGTAAGAGGGAACCCCTAATGCTCACAACAGCGAGATGTGAGGTCTCTCTGGCAGCCCTGTGCTGTCATGGGCAGTTCATAGCTTCAAGGGTACAGTCAGAACCATGTGCCACCCCTTTCCTCTGGAGAAATCCCTGCTCGTGCCCTGGCATCAGCTGGTATCGGTCCAGCCTGATGCAAACAGGTTTCCCATGTGTTACCAAGGCAGAAAACACTGTAAAGGAGAAGATAAAGCTCCCCTAGGATTGAGGGCTGCAGGAGCTGCCTGTCCAAGGAGTGGAAAAGACTGACCGAGGCGTTGTAGCCACGTAGTATGTCTCACATGGGGGAAGTGGAAGCGTAAGCCCCCTGGGAATAAGACCCAGGAATGTAATCCTCATGCCCTAAGCCTGCTTCCTGGCGTCAGCCTGTGCTGCTCTCCCAGCCCCTCGGTGTGGAGTCCCTGCCGGCAGCTGGCCTGGCAGAACAAAGGCTGGCTGTGTGTTGAGGCCTCGCTGGGAGCTGTGTTCCTTTGGCGGGCTGACGCTTGTGCCTGATCCAGGGCTCAGCAGAGACGTCTCCTAGCTGTGCTGCCTTGGAGCAGGGATGTCTGCCTGCGCTGGGAGGTACCCCCACACTCGTCATTTATCTGCAGATACTATTTTATCTGGGTTTGGGCAGTGCTGCCGTGAGGCCTCCTGCTCACCCGTGGCTTTCAGAAGCGAGAGATGCCGATACTCTGGTAGTAGTGTCCAACGGCTATGGAATAAATAAATAGCAGTCACCTTCAGGTACCAGGAGAAGGAAGCAGCTCCCCAGCTGGAGCTACAGGTTCACGCTCTCTGGTCTTTGCTCATCTGCATCCTCCATGTTTTTGGGGTATGAGGCCCTTCCAGGTGGAGAGGGTTGATTCCCTGTAGTTGGCGGATTCCCTGTAGTTGGCGGGGGGGGGGGGGGGGGGGGGGGGGGGGGGGGGGGGGGGGGGGGGGGGGGGGGGAGCAGCGTTGGCGCATCCCAGCCCTGCTCTGAGCGGTTCCTGGGTTGGCTTCTCAGGCTCGTGGAGGTGAAGGGCATGGCCGACCGGATCATCAGCATGCGGACTCAGCTGGTGTCCAACCTCAAGAAAGAGGGATCCTCCCACAACTGGCAGCACATCACTGACCAGATCGGCATGTTCTGCTTCACGGGGCTGAAGCCTGAGCAGGTAAACACAGTTCCTGTGGGTCTCAAGGTGTCGTTTGTGGTCCTTGTCAGTAAGATCTTGACTGCAGGTGCCAAAATGAGCCCTTGTGGGCAGTTCTTCCTCCAGGAGGAACATGCTCCAAGCCTGCAGCGCTGGAACATTGTGGGGACCCATGTCTTGCTCTGCTCCCTGCTGTGCTTGTGGAGGTTGAAAGCAGACATAGCCTGCTTATCTGTCAAAGGAAGCAGTCACTTGGTGCCGCTCTGAGGTGACCGTAAAGGTCAGCTCAAGTGAGGTGACTCTCCTGGCTGAACATCTGCAGTGTTCGTGTGTTGCTCGAGAGCCGAGCAGCATCTCTCTTGGTTTACAGGGTGCACTGCTGGCACTGCAGGTAGCGAGATGCCATGTCTGCTGGCTCCCAGTTTGCTTTCAGTTCCGGCAAGCTGGGTAAATTTGCACTCTGCGAAGAGAGTAGAGGTTGGCCTGCAGTTTGAACTCTGCTCTTTCACCCCAGGTGGAGCGGCTGATCAAGGAGTTCTCCATCTATATGACAAAGGACGGACGAATCTCTGTGGCGGGAGTTACATCGGGCAATGTAGGTTACCTGGCTCACGCCATCCATCAAGTCACAAAGTAAAGACACAGGTGTGCCCTGGAGCTGGTGGCCTTCCCTTCCCCACCGGTCGAAGATGAGGAGGGAAAGGAAACAAGCAGAATACTTCCAACCATGGCACTTGATGCTGCTGCTGAATGTATCTTGTAGATAAGTTGTTGTAGAAGCCTAGTCAAAACCACCCTGCGTTGTGGAGCAGGGACATCATTGCCGGCTCCCGCTCGTCACAGCCGATCTCCCCTGCTGTCCGTCCTTTGTCCATCAGCCCCAGCACCCATCTGCACTGGAGGAAGCAAATGCTTAGTGCTGCCATCCTGCCGGCGTAGGCACCAAAGGCTTCCCCACGCTCGTTTCTCCATGAGAAGGCTTTGTGAGGCTGTTGGCCGCTGGCCCCAGTGGCAGCGGGCGGGGAGCTGGGTGGGCTGAGCGGGCGGGCTGCTCAGGTGCGCCCCTGCCACTTCCTTAGGCGGTCCCTGCTGCCAGCAGGCTCCATCCTCCTTCGTCCTCCTGGCCCGGAGCTGGGCAGCGCCAAACCTGCCCGCCGACAACCAGCTCTGAGGTCTTCTCACTACTAAAATCTGCTCCGTCGTTGGCCTTCGCTCTTCCCGTCTGGGAATCTCCTTTCAGGTGTAATTCACAGTGGCATTTCTGTGGGGGGCAGACCCCTGTCCCTCCTTTAAACCTGCCTGTTCTGATTTCACTCCCATGCCCTGAGGTGAAATGATTTCTTGCCCCCAGCCCGTGCCCCCCCCCCAATAAGAACCTCCTCTGAAAACTGCTCTCTGTTGGTCTCTGCCTCTCCCCGTTCCGGTACCAACCCCAGCCGCCCGGCCCTGTACCCCCAGCAGCCCTCCCTGCAAAGCAGAGTCTTTGTGTGTCTCCCAAAGCCATGAGCCAAGAGGTGGGCCCCGCCATGTCCACCCTCACGTGGGCGTGCGGGCTGTCCCTCTCATCTGCTCTGTTCAGCCAAATTTCCGGCAGCACCGGAAAACGGGAGGGAAAGATCCTGATGACTCAAAAAACACTCTCCTTTTAAACCGAGTGTCCCCGAGGCCCTGTGACTCACTGGACTCATGATTTTTAATCCAAGTAAGCTGGCGCACAGCTGTTTTGAGCTGGGGACTCCTCCTGTCATCACACAGCTGGATCCTGTCCCCAGATATTCCCTGTCGGGGATGTGCCAGCACAGGGCTTCTTGTATGGCCAGCGAAACCCCGATTTCCTGAGAATCCCACGTAGAGAGAGGGCAGTTCCCACCCGTGTGCCTCAAGAGCACCGGGGGAGGGTGGGCTGAGGCTGCCCCAGGTGGGAGTCGGTGTCACGGAATTGAAGCCTACGGGGTTGAACGTAGGTGTTGCCGGGCAGAGCGTGCGTTCCCAAAGGAACGGGATGGAGCACGGCGGAGCTTCTTGCAGCAAGCGCAGCTGCCTCCCGAGGCGGACCCGGAGGGGTTACCTCCGAGCCTGCCTGAGCTTTCACCAGCCACTGGCACCTCTCCCCTTTGCGGCCGTACCAGGACATTTAGCAGAGCGGTCCTCGTTTCTCATTCCTGCCCAGAGCAGCCGTGTTCTCCCGGGAGCCGGGCCGGGCCTGTCTAGTGCGCGCCGTCGCCGTGCTTGCCGGCAGAGGAGGAGCTGCTTGTGCAGGCCGAGGAGGGCTGGAGCCTCCCGCTGCTCCCCGACAGACGGTTTGCACCTTAACGGCGACGGTTGTTTACGTGGCCCGATGCCCGCAGCCGCTGCTTGCTCCCATTTGTGCAATAAACCCCTTTCCCTCCTGCTGCTGCTGCTGCCGCCGTGGGTGCTGCCCCATGGCGCTGTGGGTTCTCGTGCGGTGGTCCCCGGTTCTGCGTGGCTCTGGAGCTGCCTCCTCCTGCCTCTCCTGGTTGCAAAGAGCCCTTTTACCTTGCGTTAGGCCTTTCTGCTGCCCGTTCTCTGTTACAATAAAAGTAGAGCTGGAGCACAGCCCTGCCTTCTCTTCCCTGGCCTCTCCTGCGGGTCCCTCCGGCTTCAGCTGCGGAGCGGTGGGGACGGGCAGGGATGGGCTTCCCGAAGGGGGACACCCCCCCCCCTTTGCCGCTGGTC